CAAACAAACCGTCCATATTGGACCTTGTGCTCACGAATGAAGAGCTCATGGTTGACAAGTTATTGATGGATAGTCCAATAGGTCTCAGTGACCATGTAGTAATAACTTTTGACTATGTGTGTTATGCAGAGTATCCATCTGAACACTCGGACTTAACTCATACAATCACACGCTACCACGTATTGAAAGAACTCGCCGACGCAGCTGCTTGGGAATTCTCAAACAACAGTCCCCTTAACAACGCTTGGGCAGAGTTCGTTAATAAGCTCAGCGACATCGTCAACAAAGCATCAGAGACCAAACCCCTTCGTCCCGCGAAAATGCCTTCAGTTCTAAGGAGTAGGACTCGAAAATGCCTAGCGATAAGGGATGCAGCATGGCGTGCCTACAAAATTAACCCAGACTCAGAGACTTGGGGAAATTTCCTGACCCATCGCAACCATTGCACTGCACTTGTCCGTGAGGACAATGTAACTTATAAACAGTGCCTAGCCAAACAGTTCATGGCAAACAACAAACTGCTGTATAAGCATGTCAATAAGCTTCGTAAATTGAAGCATGGAATCCCGCCACTTTTCACGACAGGCGGTAGAGTACAAAGCGCCGAAGAGGCAGCTAATGCCCTGCGGCTGCAATACGCCCCAATCATCGAACTCGCAGTCTCTACCTGTCCCATTACATCAAGCACATTACCGACACCTTTGTTTACAAATGTTATTTTCAACCCATCAATTGTGCTAAGGAAGTTACTCTCACTGCGTGAGCATAGCTCTCCGGGAGCAGACAACATCCGCCCGAAGGCACTGAAGGCTACGGCCACCAAGCTAGCTGAACCACTGTCACAGTTCTTCCAATGGTGCTTTGATGAACAACGAGTCCCCACTATGTGGAAGTGTGGCATTATAACCCCTATTTTTAAAGGCGGTAGCCGTTCCGATCCTGCAAACTATCGTCCAGTGACTCTCCTCCCTGTGCTCGCGAAAGTGATGGAATCAGTCGTCGCTGAGGCTTTAATGGACTACTTGGAAAATGCGACATTTTGGTACGGGAACAGCATGGCTTCCGTCAACACCGGTCATGCACCACCAACCTACTGATTGCACGAGGTAGTTGGACGGAAGTGGCCGATGATGGGGTCGGAGTCGACGTCATCTATCTGGACTTCTCCAAAGCTTTCGACCGCCTTGATCACTGCATCCTACTTCAACGGCTTCAGAGTTACGGAATCGGAGATCCTGTACTTGGTTGGATTGGCAACTTCCTTTACCAACGAAAGCTCCAAGTACGTGTTAGGGGATCACATTCTAACCCAACTGAGGTGGAATGTGGTGTCCCGCAAGGCTCAGTGCTGGGACCGCGTTTATTCCTTGTGTTTATCAACGACCTGGCAAGGATCATCTCCTCAAATTTCCTGCTTTTCGCCGATGATGTCAAGATATGGCGGGCGATTAGTATCAAGCCAGATCAGGATCTACTTCAACGAGATTTAGATCGCATTTACTAATGGTCAAAGAGGAACAAGCTTCAGTTGAACATAGCTAAGTGCAAAGTGATGCATCTGCGTCACCAGCTGGTGAGCGCTTACAAGATTGGAGACCACACCTTGGCGAAGGTTTCTCAGGAGCGGGACCTGGGTGTATTGGTACAGGAAGATCTTGGATGTTCAAAACAAGCAGAGAAGGCGACGAGAACCGGAAATCAACACTTCGGCCTTCTTCGCAGAGCCTTCGGTCGGTTTGAACCATCAATATTTCCCCAAATGCTTAACGCCTACGTGCAAACGCACGTGGAATATGCTATTCAGGTGTGGCAGCCGTGGCAGAAACAGGATCTCATTGTTCTCGAGACTCCTCAACGAAGGGCAACCAAGAATGTCAGGGGCCTCTTTGATCTGCCCTATCAGCTTAGACTGAAATCTCTAAGAATGTACAGCAGTCGACATCGGCTTTTGCGGGGGGATCTCATAATGGTTTACCAGATTCTGAAGAACCCAAACCACATTTGCCGTCCGCTGCTGGAATTGAACCCCAACACTAAACTAAGAGGTCACCCTCTGAAACTGACAATTCATTATAGCCGGCTTGAATGCCGTAGAAATTTCTTTTCTCTCCGCGTGTGCCAGCCTTGGAACGCCCTCCCTAATTATATCGTCTCTGCTCCCAATCTGGCGATATTTAAAAAATGTGTTGACGATGCATTGTCTCACTTACATTTCATTTTATGACTTGTTAGCCAGGGGCTACAAAACGCAATCAAACGGTTTCTTGCCAAACGCCTAACCATTGGATTTATGGATTTATACGTTTAATATGCGAACATCTCCGCTATTTCACATAAGTCTATGGTGAGTCCACTACAACGCTTTTCACTTCATCATGCAATTAATTTTCACAATAATTTCCATCCTACGGGACTTGTTAAGCAACGCTTTTTTAACCGTAAGGAAGCATTGTTCCATTGTTGCATTGTGTAACCCGTTCACCTTACCCAAATGCAGCTCTTTCCTTTAAAGAAACATTGCAATTTCTTCTCGAAGCGCGAGCACTCGGTGCAACACCTTGCCTCGTGATAACCAACACACTTCTTGTGCAATAACTACACGTCGAATTTGCCTCAAAATTCACTACACAACTTTTTAAAAACCCTTATAGATGGCGCACCACCGCGAATGACATTTATTATTTTCTCTACGTTGGTTAACGTGTCCAGCAAAACAGGCGGAAGAGTTTTCACTGTTAAACCATGACGACGTAGTATGCAGTGGCTGAAGGTACAGTGCAGAGCAAATTTTTTGACTAACGTTTGGAATCCAGAACGGACGCCCAACATGGATGGTGCTCCGTCTGTACAGACACCCACCAACCTCGACCAATGTAGAACCTTTTCATCGATAAAATCCTTCACTGTTCGGAAGACATCTTCACCACATGTAGTTGTGCTCAATGATTCTGAGAACAAGTACTCTTTTTTGAAGCGGTCGCTTTTATGCACGGAACATAGACAAGTAGCTGGGAACAGGATGCAATGTCGATCGATCTAACTGTATGGCGAAGAAACGACTTGACTTGATTTCGTTGAGCACCTTATTCAAAACATTCTTGCTCATATCCTCGATACGACTTTTGATTGCGTTTTTAGAAAGTGATCTCATGCTTATCTTTTCTTCATGTTGCTCTCCAAGAACGAGCTTCACGGCACCAATTATGCAAGGTTTTATGAGATCCTCTCCTATAGTATGCGGTTTCTTGTTTTTGGCGATTCGGAGAGCGATGCGTACGACGTTTCAAGACCAGCTTCAGTTGACTGAAAAAAGGAGCCCGATGTACCCAGGCGCGAACATTTGAGCGCAGCTTCTTTCCGTTTGAAGAATGTAATATCTTTTCCTACAAACTGAGACCGACTTTGGTCGAAGTGGTCTTTCAAACTGCTGGGTTTCATGCTCTCCCCCGTGAGCACTTTGGTGTAGAAAACACATTGCGGTTTCTCAACATTTTTATCGAAAAGATTGGTGAAGCCCCATTTCAGAAAAGCTTCCTTGTACGACCGCTTTTTTCCCGAGGACAAGGTTCCTGCAAAAAGTAGGCAACTAAATGATATATATAAATATGAATATATTCACGATTTAATGTAGGTGACATTATCGAAAGCATTTGCAGTTAAACTCATTGTGGTCGATATCAAAACCATTGAATTAAATCACTCACCTGATATGGTTTCTTGTCAAAAACAACTGTTGATGAATGTGATCAACCCAACGCCCAGTGGTCACTGAAGTCAAATCCACTGATTCTGCCTTTTTTGTGACCCAAAGCGCGGTGTTCTGCGTACTTTCAAACGCCTGCTGTTATCTCCGTTCAAGGCATCATATGGCCCTTTCGTGTGCGATTCATGATCAAACATGAACAAATATCGGTGCCTTCTCACGTGTTGCATTCCTCCATTCCAAGTCATTCCTGCGTGATAACTTGACACCACCACTCTGTATCGATACGTGGTGAACACTAATCATCCGTTTTGACCCTTCTAACCTGGAAACAACCGCGTCACCTTGGCTGGTTGTTTGACCAAGGCTCAACTACTAGTTTGCAATCGACTCCATAATTTGACCCGGCGAACGACTGCCTGCAGTTAGCCACGGGAGCCGATAGAGGCGTCATCCGGTTGCAGTGACTAATGACTGGTCACTGATGGCTAACCCGAAGTGCATAGGTAATTAGTGACATGTTTTGATACGGACGATTTTGTTATTAAACTTGTTTAGCGACCGATTGATAACCCAATCCTCGTACTAGTATTTACCACCCGCAAAATGGCATTTTACCCCTTTGGGGGGGTACTTACCCCCAGGTTGGGAACCCCTAGTATAGACGTTAGGAACAGCACCGAAAATGTTTCTCCATTAATGGATCCAAGCTGTGGAAAGTTCTGTATTCCAATGTCCCCTCTCAAATATTAGCAGCATACAATCATCTACCCTTGATGATACATTACACCAACTGCTTTACATGATTTAACCCAAATTACTTTGACTCGGCAAAACTAACCAAATTTTGTTTTGATGCGGATATTAGTGAGTGCACCGATATGCATTAATTTTCTCGATACCTTCAATTGTTGATCCTACTCATTACTGATGGAAATTGTGAAGCATTCGCTTTCTTAGCCATAGTTAATCCACTAGTTTACAATCCCATATGTTTGGCCGGCCGAACGTCGCGACTCTAGATTGTGCATGTTTGTATGTACCTACTTTGTTACATTATTTGTAACATGAATGTGTATTTCATATCACATGTTTGACTAATTACTTATCAGGGTGATCCAGCTACTTATCACCAACCTGGTCATTACCACCTCTCCTGTCAATCGGCTGCTCTTCGAGACAGCAGGTTAGCAGATGGGCGCGACCAATAAGGTTACGATACCTCACGCCATTGGCTAGTCAAGGCCTGCCAATCACTCACAGGTGAGGTGAGAAGCGCATAGTTGCAATCAGGTTTGTCGAGACAGCCTGAACTATGGAGACAGTGTCCAGTTCATGCGAACGATTTATTGCTTATTCGACAGGAAACACAGCACAATACTTAAAACACGGAACCTTAGGGCAATGCCGTAAAACGTGAATAAACACGATGAAACGGGCGTTCGATTCTTGGCCTTGCTATCGATACGCTATCATTCTGATTACTTGGTTCGCACTGGGCACTCACGGTTCCACCTTCGGTACCGATAAACAATCGGGACCGGTTGAACAGCGCCAGTGCCTGAAACCGGTACCGATTCAAATACCAGAGTGCCGAAACACGTTTTACAATTTTACCGGAATGCCCAATCTGGTGGATCAGGACTCGCAACTTGATGCTCGACAACAGTTGCAAACCTTCAAACCCCTCATTGTCTATCAATGCTCCAAAAAGCTCAGTTTCTTCCTGTGTTCCGTTTACACACCAATGTGCGATGTGATCACCCGACATCTGATAGGCCCATGCCGCCCACTTTGTGAACACGTGAAAGCTCGTTGTGCTCCGGTATTGCGTGTATTCGATTTTGACTGGCCTACCCATCTTAACTGTTCTCGGTTCCCGGTAAAAAATGTTATCGGCGGCACTATGTGTATGGAAGGTCCTTACGACCCGGAAGAACGCACCATGACACCAGATGAAAAGGAGTCAGACTTGGATCCAAACGCACCGTTCACATCGTCTGTGTCCACGAGTCCAAGTGTACACCACTCAATGTCACATCTGAACTCACACAGTAAAGTCGGCACCGTTGACTCCACCTTGATACCCGAGGAGCGCATTCTTGGAAATTGGATTCAACAAGTTACCCAGATTCATAATGATGACCCTTCTAATTCAGACTTAGCACACCTGCCGCCTTCATCGATATCCGTGATTGCCAAATCATTACGCCATTGTTCGCACCTAAGGAAACCAACGTCCTATGTATACATTAACCGAACCGGAAGATGTGCTCCTTTGTGTTGGGCAGATATTTTGTACAAACGAGATGCAAAGTTACTATCTATCGTGTGGACAAGTGTTGTCACTGTGTCATGCTGCTTCACCACATGCTTGGCACTTATTGGTTACGCAATTGACTCCGACGTTTTTCAACTGGCCGAGAGACCAGTGTTCTACATTGCCCTGTGTCATCTAATCCATTCGATAGCGTTTGCGATTAGCTTAGCCGTCGGTAGAGAATCAGCAACATGTGGTAAAGATCTGGACTCGGGATTACTTATCCGCTTGCAAGAAGGGTTGGACAACTCCATTTGTGCGCTGATTTTTATGACGCAGTTTTTCTTTTCCTTAGCCAGCTCCGTTTGGTGGGTGCTACTGTCTCTTCACTGGGTGGCATCACAAAGACCCTCAAGATGCAGTCAGTACCGGACCTACTTGGAATCTTTGAATTTGCCTAATAGTTATCGTGAGTCTACTTTAGTCCGTGCCGAATGTCCTCGACGTATGGGTGCACAATGCGACTTCAGTACAAACCAGAGTAGCCCCGAGAACAGTGTTAAAAAAATGACAGATGAATTTTTGGGTCATAAGTGTGTTAAAAATGATCGATCCGAAAAACTGAATGGATCTGCCATCTACATGCATTCAGACACTACCATCCCACCGGTTTCTGCACCAACTGTCCCGGCTCGCAGTATATCCCATCCCTCCGAAGTAACACCGTACTTTGTGCACAATGGTAGAGTGGTGCCGTCTTACCGATACCTTTATCTGAGGGGAAATTCTAGACACTACACTACTGCGACTGACCGGCTGTCTGCGTGGCTAGCTCGGGAGCACATTGTTGTCTGGCTTACAGCTAGTCTCTTCACCGTCGGAGTCCTCGTTAGTCGACAGGTGAGTACTGCTGTCATCAAAATTATTACTAGTTCAAACAGTCCGTCCAGGTAACACGCATTTATTCCGTAAGCGTTCAATGCTTTGCTCCTTTTTACTCAAAATAAGTTCGAGAATTCATATTTGTTCAATTTGGACAAAATGTTCTCCTCCGATGCATACCATCAGCGGTCGGACTGCATACTAATCATATCTATCATGTTTAACTGTAAGATTACTAGTCAGTTTATTTGTAGCGATTAGGCTTAATCGTTATGTCTGCGGTACTGAAAGGATATTTAAATCTATCTATGCTGAATTCTCACTGAGTATATACCCTAGTTGTTGCGTTATCTCGCTCGGTACATGTTGGTAGTTTTTTGCGCCACATACGCTGCCTACAAGAAGGCCAGAGATTTCGGTCATTAACACTGCAGTTCGATAACAAAAGCCTTCCTTCTTGTCCGTTTGATTGGAAATTCAAAATTGGTGAATCCCCTTCATCCGACAAGTTACATAATTTGTAGAACACAGAGTTCCATGAAGTACATCATTTTACATAGTCATCCTCAGTTGAGGACTCAGTGGTTGCAGATAGCGCTGGAAAGGAGGAAATTGGATTGGCCAGCACTACGTGGTCTCACACCTCAAAGACGTCGCGGCGAGTTGGTGCCAGCAAATCGATCACTTGCAGAAAATGATGGTTGATTCCAAAATGACGGTCCACTCTTAATTGTTTGTTTTGAAATGCACCGAACCCATGACGCGGTGGATATAGTAAGCCGATTAACCCTTGTGGGGGATCTAAGGCTTTTAATCATTGGCAAGGTAATTTCGTAACGAAAGCCTTCCTAACCACTTGTACGTATGCGAATAGTTATTAACAAGACTGTGTAGATGAGGCTAGGCGAGTGTATTATTTCGATGTTACGGTAACACGGATGGGCGACGCTGTCAGCAACTGCGTTAAAGCCATGAATAATATATCTAAACCTTCCCAGACAAGCCGGCCGATTTGACATTGCGGGGTATCTAGGATCCAAACAAAAGGTCATCTTACTTGATAGGTTAAAATTTTCTGAGGCGTTGCCCTTAAAGTAATGCTCAAGTGACAATGAAATGTATGTTTCTGAGGTGTTTTCCAATCGAAGCTGTTATCAGATACAATACAACTCAGTGCACCCATCACTTAGCAACAGAGGCGCTTATGCGCATTCCAATCCTATCAACCGCTAGCAACATCTGGACTGAGTTCTACAGCAGGATGCACCCAAATTTCCTAAGATAGATGCGTCCTTTTTGATGCATCCTGTTTGGCCGGTGCATCAGTTGGACCACCTAAGAATGCAATCTCTGCAGATCGACTCAACTGTGCCGATAAACACGTTTGTCCATTGACCCTAGCTAACGAAAGAGATGATTGTCTCTCGTTTTGCTCCTCCTAGTATCAGGTTCGCCTACTTACTCGTCTGCTTACACTATATTTTATTTAACGCACACTTATGTAGTCGAGTCCACCTAAAGACTCAAGTGGTATTTGAGGTTTTTTTCAGCGCATCCACTCAATATACATGAGACAACCTAGCACCACTCTGTCACACTAGCACGCTGCCTTGGCAGTGAGCAGAGCCTGTTCACTGAAATTGAGCTGCTTACTGGGTTGAAATTCTTCAGACTTCCAAAGCTGTGGGAAGTTTAGGCAGACGTTCCCGTGGTGGACAACATTCATGTTTAGTTTAATAATCGCAAATGGAATACAGGAGGTTTTATCGGTAGTGTCCACAATTGCCTCATGTAGGTAAGACTGATTACTACTCTCATTTAGGCAGTTAAGCAATAAATGAATTAACCGCAAGCAATAATAGGGGATCACCTCACTCTTGAACAACTGGGTCTGGTGAATTTGTGACACATAGCATTTGGGTCGGGTACAGTGATCATCATAGTAATCGCATCGTGTTTGGGGTTGACGGGGCTGCTATGGAACTTTGTCAACATAGGGAATCCACACTGTCTGTATTTGTGGGTACCCTGTAAATAGCCATTTGCGTAATAGTAATAATTACTCTAATCATGATTTGCATAAACTAAGGGGAATTGCTGTGTTCAGTATGTTCTGGTACTGACATCTTACCCGTTAATTAGCTGCAATGACACATGTTATGTGTGAATACATATTTAGCAATTGTACCACAAACCTACTTCGTTTTGAAAAACACGGCACAAAGACGAAGGCTGGTAGATGCATGCATTTCGTATTATTTCCACAGTACCGTTAACAATAAGCGATATGCACAGATACGGCTAACAGTGGGTGCAACCAGACCAGCTTAAGGTGCGGAACGAATGACGGAAGTTCATCCCTACGTCCAAGGCAGCTTTATGCTGACAAATAATTGTTTCTGAACACACAAGGTTGGTTTATAGCAACAGCCTCAGCAAAGCGAAGGAAGCTGGTACTAGAGTGACGTAACGCAACTTTAAATGTTGAGCCCAGCTCTATCCGGTGACCCGAGTCTAATAGGTGTTTGCCTATCGAGGAAGACAGCAGTCTGCATAAACACGGAATCTGACGACGGTAGGCAATCTGAGCAACTTCATGCTGGACGCATCTTGGTACATGCTCCTTTATTCGGGAAGTCAGAGTTCTATTAGTTCTGTCTACCTGTCACGTACAAATTGGTATACACAGTGTGTATTGTCCCGAATAGGCTGAGCTTCCTTCGTTTTATGCCCTCCAGGACAATCATCTTCAGCCAATACGTGTGCACTGTCACCACAGTCTTTAGCAACAAGTTGTTAACAGTGTTTTGTGTACTGGCCTGTTTGCAGGCAGTTGGAATTTTTGCATACTTTTATGCTTTTGTTGGTCACATAGGAAAGGCCGCTGATTGAAGCTGACGTCCGAATGAGACGTTTAGGTAAGAATCTGCCTGTACGAATGAAAATTGTTTCCTCTACACAGTGGTATAGAAGCAGCATTTTAGATAAATATTTAACTTACCACAATACTTCTATACGTCTGCGTCATAAAGTAATATAAAATTTATGCGGGTAATTTTTTGATGTTCTGAGGAAGGCATTATCTGCTCCTGCACATACGGTCAGCGGGTGAAGTCTTTGTGGTCCGCCTTGCTAACAGTGGATAACTTTATGATGGCATGAGCAGAGGATTCAGGAGGGTTTAATTAGAAAGTTCCTCCATTCGCATTTGTCTGATCCTATAGTTGATCACTGTGTTGTCACACTGAACCTACTACACTACAGTGATCTTCCTCCCATTGCAAGGCCCAGACTTGTTAACATTATTTCGTCCAACTGTCAGGCTATGTACAACTTTGCCTCCGAAATTCCCCCGTGATTATAACCATCTCATACCTAGAGAGTTGTCCAAATGTTTGTCGAACTCTGTGACTAGACAGATGTACAAAACTGCATATGCCTGCACACGGACCTATGGTACATCAGGTGTCCATTAGTTGTCACAATATTTGACCACTCAAAACCAGTGAAATACCAAAAACTAAGTCATTCAAGAAGTGGTGGTGAATCGGCCCCTGTCAGTACAACGTATCAACGACTGATTGAAAACTATCCTCTTGCAATATGCCACTGTACTACTAATCCATGCCCACACTGTGTGTATTGCAGCGGAATATTCACCATTCGTGGGTACATAAAAACATTCTTGGTATGAGTTGGCTTGAGGCATCTCATGCTCCCTATGGTGCAATCCAAGCCTTTAGTGAATACTATGCGTTATTTCCTCACTGAGCTAGTATTTAGATTGTAAACGGTTTGACCATATCAGTGACCAAAGCAGCAGCTTAGCATCTATTCTAGGCAAGCAGAAATACACGGTACTGCATGAGTATTCAAAAGCACCTGACCACATAATTGGACTGCATCATGCATCACCGATGGATATACCATTTATTTATTCATTTATTTAAAGCCAGACTCGAAAGTTAGGTTAACTACCAGCATTAGTGTGCACCGGTAACGGCCACGTCTTTAACTAGAATCAATATCCGGTAAATCTTATCTTAATTGCCTACGCAATTAAGTCATCTGTAGTGCATGCAGTGCTGATAATCCATACATTTAACGTCTCTACATTGGAACTATACACTTTTTACCCATCTAGTCAGTACACTCCTTTGATAAAGCTTATCGTCATGTGTAGTACTACTATCGCTTTTATCTGATCTCTTATGCCACTTTATCATCGACTTTATAGATCTACGTGCATCTGTTAGTAAAATTAATAATGTATTGAGGTAGTCAGATACATGGTGAATGGCAGTGCAAATTACGAGCAAATCCACTGCAGTGAGTGTCAGCATGATAGCGGATAGTCAATTGAAAGATAAAGGGCTAGGAATAACATCTCAAAGTCATAATCATTACCAGTATCTGGACAACAACCATTGGTATGACCATTACGTGTGTATCAATATGGGAAGAAAACTAATTACTTTGCATAGCATTTCTATAGTACCTAGGGAATATCATGAGAATTCGAAAAGTCCGACAGGTAGAAGATAGGCACTAATCACACCGGATGTTGTCGACAAGATAGTGCAGCAACAATTGTTGGCTTATTTAGGCATTGAGTTATTGGTGTGAAACAGTAAACACAGCATGTCAGCATTACTGGTTAGACAGCTGCATCGGATGTGCCATGCAAATGCTTTAGCTTCTAAAAGCAAGAGGGATTTTAAGGGCCTAGGCATGGAGTTCTTTTCTGAATTATGCAATACTAATAGTGGCCTAAAACTTCATTTAGTTTATATTTGAATTACGATTTGACCAACACCATCAACACACTTATCAACATACAATGTGGATTAATCATTCAAATCATACACCACGTGGATACTTTAAAATATAAACTAAAATAAATGGTATTAATGAAGACTGGAGTATCCCGTGGGTATTGCGATAATAACTTCTAGATTGCGCGTCCGATAGGACCAAGTAAATTACTCTGCTCAAGATGTTAACCCCCTTTGATTCAT